AAAGGCCAGAATGTTCCCATTATCCCTAACCTATGCAGAGAGTTGTTGATCCGTAATGAACACAAAAGTCAAAACTTAACAAGTGCCAAACTCTTAATTGGATCTGCGACTTTGGTCTAATGTTTCTTTCTTGGACCATTTTGATGGTATCCAAAGTCTTAAAGTTTGAGCATCGCATAGGCAAAGCAAATGGTTCGGGGCTTCAGACCTGAGGGAGAAGGTGGTGAGAGGGAGAGTACAAATTTGAACTTTTAGCATAAGAGCGTGAATGCTTTTTATACTAATGATAAAATTATTTTAAGTACTAAGCTTCACTATTTAAACAATTAATTTTAAATATATATATATGAAAAGTATTTTATAAGACATATTGTATGTAATTTGTTTTATAAAATAATTTTTTGTATATATATTATAATCATAACTACCATTTTAACCCTTCACATAAATTTTAGTAATACTTTTAAATAATATACAATAATATTTTTTAAAAAAAGTCAAGTAAAATTATTCAATAAAAACTACTCATCAATAAAAAAATTTAACTACTGTATTATTTATTTTTACTACAAACTGGAGTTACCTAAAATTATGTGTAAAAACTCAAAAACAATTGAAATAAACTCAAAGCAGTCCAAATTCACGAGAACTAGTAAATGAATATAACAATTTGCTGCACATTTTTTTTAAGGTTTTTTTTATAACTAAAAAAATGATTTTTTTAAATATATTAAATCAATGTTAGGGATGAAGAACGCCATTAAAATTATTTGAAAAGAGATTAAATTATTTGTAAAGAGATTGCTTTCAAATTATTCAAAAACTCACATAAAGACATCATAATTGTCTAAATAAAAAAATTAATACTCCATTTGTCTCAAAATAAGAGTTCTTTTTTATTTAAAATTTGTCTTAAAATTATAGTTTTTTATATTTAAAAAAATAAATATTTTTTTAATTTAATCTTTTCATTATCTCTTCATTTTTTTTTTATTTCTTTTGAATTGATTACAAATTTAGAGAGGGAGATTGTAACCTCAATCTTAAAATTAAGGGTACATTTATCGAACAACATATAATTATCAAGTCATGAAATCTAGGTACCATTATTTCTTTATATTAATTATTCATCTTATTATAATTTAAATCTCATATTTTTAATTTTTTTAAAGATTAATATAAACAAGAATAAAAATTATTCTTAAATTTTTAATTTAAAAATAAAATAATTTGTAACCTCAATCTTAAAATTAGGGGTGCACTTA